AACTATTGATTATGAACAAGTATGATATTAATTAAATTAAACAAAGAATCTATATTATACACATATGTTACGAATTAAATAAAAGTTTTGATAGAAAATATTACTAGAATTTGTTGGCAACTTCAACTTATAGTTTTAAGTTTTAACATTAACAGTAAATGTAACTCGATCAAACTGTAAGTATTGAGTCAGATAGTTCGTTCTAAGGGTAGCTGTAGTTATAACAGAACTCGCTTTTCCTAACCGGTCCCTGGTTGGTCAGCGCCGTCATTACAACGACATATTTATTAAGAATAACTAAAATTATTACAGTTATTTTATTTTTTCTAAAACTTATTATAAAAAATATTCTTCTTTATCTTACTTTTCTAGTTTTATAGTACGGTAATAGAATTATTTTCTATGGCAAGTGAATTTCACGGTTATATTGTGCGTGTTCGCCGATGGTGTGATAGATTTACGATTACTCACTCTGATACGCCGCTGATTGGTGTTGAAGAGAAAATATTTCTTAATGTAATATAGCAACATGATAGTGGTGTTTCAGAACAGTTTTAACAGTAAATGTATGGAGTTTAATGATATTATTCGATTGTTCCTTAAAGTTGTTCGAAGAAAGGTACGAAAGTAAAACAGCTACCAGATCCTCAGTTGGGAAAAGCTTCCTCATCTTCTTCTGATGTTGGTTGAAGGTTTCATCATCATGCCAGGCCTGTCCTTCTAGTCTTTGTCAAAACGTTTTTACCTCGTTGTCAAATTAGCCACCGTTATAATGTCATCAATATACTCGCTCCAAAATTTATAGTAGATGAAAACCAAAAACAACACAGAAAAGTAAACATTGTTTTGATAAAGAAGTTGAAATTGTTGGAAAAATGATTCCATTATCCACTGACTTGTGCATTTGAGGAGAAAGGAAAACAATTATAAATTAATTAAAAAATTAGCACACTTACGATACCCTAGTTACTTTACAGCCACCGTGATCACGGGCAGACGAGATGTGAATGTTTGTCAGTCGGTCTTGTTATTCTATCACCTACCACAGTTGATTTCTTAATTTTCTGGCGTATTTGGCGTTTTCTGTCCCGAGGTCCTGCGGTGTGGTCATGGACATGGGATTTTATATTTTTAAGAAGGGGATCGTAGATGATAAATAGATTTCAGTCATCTTCTCTATTAAAATTGGCGTGTTCTTTAATTCAATAGCATCGGGATTTTAACCTCAGTATATTCCTGTCTTCACGAGCGAGGATGTGTGGTTTGCCAAACCGAATGTAGTGGCCTGGTTTGTCCATTGTGTGTTCACACACTGCTGACTTCGACGCGCGCTTATTTTGAATGTCTAAGATATGTTCCTTCATCCTTGTACAGAGACTCCTCTTTGTCTGTCCAATGTATTAATGATGTTTGAGTCTAAGATCTCATTAAATACGCATTACGAAAAAATTCTTTAAAGTTGAAAAGTATACAAACGAAAAAAAGTTCAATTAATTGTCTTATTTCATATGTATTACAAATTAATAGCTATTAAAATTGTATTAGGTACACTTACCAACCGGCTTTAAACGACACTTGTAATAATTTTTTGTACACGACAAGCAAAAACAATACCTATACACGGTGTAATGGACACTATACAACAAATTAGCTGACAATACGATATAAGGGAATTGAATTTAACAGAATGACATTGAATTTTTATACTACAAATACCCTACAATAATCAAACTGTAATAAAGGTATATACAGGGTGACTGGTGAATTACTATCGATACTTGAGGACGTGATATTTGACGATCATATATGACAAAATAAAAATTAATATAACATAAATATTAATAAACTTCTAAGTAAAGTTAACCAAAAGTTATATAATTAATTACGCATCGTGTGAACACCCTACAGATTAGGTATACACACACACTCGCGTGGTGGCGTGGTGTTGTATCAGCACGCCGCCGCACGCGTCCACACTTGGAACACTTGGAACGTGTCCACAGTTTATTTATTTATACGGAAATTTGGTCAAAAATTAAGTACCTATTTTTTTTACATAATTCGAATGAGAATTATGTACCGAGTATTCTCCTTATTATGAATATTCTCACCAGTCACCCTGTATAGAACAAAAGAGCTTAATTTATTTTAAAAATCATTTTATTGAAGTCTACTGTTTTAGAAATTGATCGGAAGAAGTTACACGCTCAAACATAACTTATTTGTAGTGTTTAAATTAATAATAGGTATATCTATTATTTGATTAGTTAACGCTAACCTTAATACTTCTCATTACAATCATTAAAACATTGTTTTTTAAGTTTATAAATATATAACAGAGTAAATTAAGTTAAAATTGGTTATAAGAAAATTTAAATAACACTAAAGACATACATACAACTTCATCTTTAATCGTAATTCGTAGTATTTTCCTCTTCTTTCTAAGGGAAGGTCAGGTCATACGATCCCTGGAGGTCAAATGATTCCCTTCTGTTTATCAGAGATAACTGGTGCCATCTCTCCAAATACTCATAAGCCATGTTCCCAACACCCTGACAGTTGCGACTCCAATAATTGTTCTAAATGTATGTGCGTCTTTGAATTTTCATGATTTTTAACATGTTCCTGTTTATTGAAATGTTGATTTACTTGTGTGTATGAAAAACGTTTAACTCATTTTTGAGCAATATGAAACTACCTGTTGGTTATGTAATGATATCTTGAAATGTTGTGTTGTTGGGGCGTGTTCTGTGTGTTTAAAATGATCCTTGGAATCATTTTATCCCCTTAATATTTGTTGTTTTTACAGATCGTGACGAGAAATTATATTCACAGAACTAATCTCCCAAGTCGGACTCAAGATTCAAGAACAAAATTAAATGGTATTAAATGCTGTCAGAGATGGTATGCTTTACAAAACCGCAAGTAGAAAGGATAAGGTTCCTGTGGTGGAATTAAAAAGGTAAAAATAAGTAGGCTCAGTTAAACAGTTAGTTAAAAAAGTAACAGTGTTTCATCTAAAATAAAAACAAAAACTGGTTGATTAAATTAAGATTATGGCATATAGAATGTACGGTCTGAACAAAAAGTATGATTTGCTTAGTTCACCAATGGTCTGTCTAAAAAAATTACGGCATACATTTTCTGATATAAAAGGAAAAGCTTTATTTGAAAAACCTCCTGCATTTAGGGTGGAGAAATCAGGATATTACGATGAGCACCACAGAATAGATGTCTTCTGGCTCAAGAGCTAGCCTTTAATAAGCCTGTGGTTGATAATATGTTCGGCTTTGAAAAACGTACAAGAAAAAAACATAGTTTTCTACCCCATTTTACTTCAATTGTTATAAACAATTAATTACCTACATACTTAATTGATTATAAAATGATCTCTGGAATTATTTTAAACAGGTGTGTACAGTGTATAAAATGATCCTTAACTAACGAAAAACTTTTAATATAAAGAAGCTATATACATATAACAGAAAATAAGTATGCAGTTACAAAATGAAGTAAATTCACTACCAGTAACAAAAGAAATCTTGCGATTTTCACTTCAAAATTAGTCACAGTAAAATTTTTCCTTACAGGTTCATTATACCTCACTTTCCCTATTTTTAATTATATAACAAATTCCCACTATCCTTATATTGTATATATACGATCCTTATATAAAAACTTAAATATAAAACATACACATGTATATAGAATCGCAAAATATTGTTAGTTTTCTTTAGTTAGTTAATGAGAGTTAGTTAGTTGATGAGAGTTTATCTATCAATATTTAAGTAAACTCTATACTTATACAGGCTCTTTATTTCCTTCATATTATTATTCAAGTGTCGGGTCTGACGCGGTCTCTGTTGAATACCTGAGAGGATAATTAATCTAGATGCAGCGGAAACTACACTAGACATTGACATGTATACCAAAAGAATTCTTATACCGCGACTTATTACTACAAACATAGGTATATAAATATATAACGCAATGTATATAATGCTATATACATGGTTATGTATTAAATCTTAATCTGAATCCTATGATACTTTCTATGTGAAGTTATATATTGTTTATTTTTGCTTTAGTTATACATAGTAATAATTGTGTTTTCGGTGTAATTTTTAGTTTCGGGACATTTGCGAGCTACGTTGTAGCCTATCCATTTGCTTTATTAGGCTTTATTTCTTAAAAAAATATTATAAAATCAGTTCTTATAATGAGATCTCAAACTTTTGCGAATATTCATTTAAATAAAACTATGTATTATTATACGAAAATCTCGTCTGTCCGTGATCACGGTTGCTGCAAAGAAATCGAAACGTCGGGAGTATGTAGCTTAAAATGATAAAATAAAGAGTAGTAGTCATAAAATATTAGTTTTATTTATATCACAACTTAATAAGTTTGTATTATAATATGTTCCTAGTCAAATTATAACGATTTTAATATTTAAGCGATCGCTTGAAAGTTGAGTTCGTTCTTTATAAATTCGATACATATGTTGACATTTGTTAATCCAATTAACATAGTTATATGTTACTCTCAAAAACCTGTTGATTTATACGAAGGCTGTTTAAGAGTACCCAGTTGTAGTGTTTGTTTTATTTGGTTACTTTAGCTTCTTACAACTTTGTTCAACTCATTACCATCTCTCTAGCAGCAGGCATACGTTACAAAACTTTATTTCAAATATAATACACGTTTAATTGTAATAAAATGAATTAATGAAAATTATTTGTTTCTTTGTATTTTCAGTGAGATATTAGTAAATATTTGTGGTTCTCATGACTTATATCGTCATAATTAATTTTCATATTCATAATTACCTATCGATTAATTAATTACAACAAAACCGATTCCAGTTTCGGACGGCGACAAACACCGACAAAGGTGTTGTGGATAAATAAAGATAAAAGGAATATAAAAAAAACTCTCAAAGAATATATCTTTTATTGATGTCTCTCCCTCGTCTCTCTCTTCCGACGTGTTTCTTGATGCTATCTTGTTCTTGGAAGCTGCTCCTCCCTCTCTTTCCCTCCTATTGATATCCCTGTGATGCTGTCCCTGTCTATTTTCAATCGATACCCCGAGACACCCACGACAACCAGTTGTGAACACGAGAAGGGCAGGATCGGGACATCGTCGAGGCTCACATGTAAAACCACTAATTATTAATTTTTACTTCATTAATTTAAGTATTTTTCACTCATTCATAATTTACATATATCTATAGTCAGTAGTCTGAGTATAAATTTAGAATATATATAGTATGTTATATTTGAGCCCCGACGATAGCCGGTTACATGGACGAGATTCCAATTGAAGGTCTGAATGAAGTAAAGGCAGCGGCGCTTGACTCGGACAATTTATAAGTTTTTTATTTATTCCCTCTAACCACTTACACTCAGCCCGCTATGGGTTTTTATATATCCCATAGAATATAAAACAGTTTTGACTTAATGAATACCTCTTATGAACTCACGGTTATTATTGATGTAAGTTTTAAACAAAATATTAATGTATTTTCTCAGCGTAAATATTTATAAAACTATTTCTCCCAATATAGAAATATTAGAAACAGAAAATATAAGACAATTCAATAATAATAAGGGAATAATAAAAGTCACTTAAACAAAAAATTTACAAAAACATATTTCAAAGTACACTAGATGGCGCTACTTGAACAAAAAGTTCACGAAGTTTATGTTAATGTGTAGGTAGTTAAAAGTTCCAAGAAGAACGATCGATAAATATACTTTAGAGGACAGGCTTTTTAAGCTTACAATTTTTCTATATTGTTTTAGTTTTTACCCGTAGTAGTGGACTTAAGGGAAAAAACTATTCGTATTTATTAAATTCATTGAGTTTGAAACACAAATTAATAGGTACATATTTGACATTTATCCGTTCAATATGATGTAATTTTGTATGATCTCTTATCTCCGAAAAAATGCTGCAAAGACTACGTATTTTAAGCTTAACATTTTATCAAAAACAAACAAGGATTCTAAGAATAAACTGGTTGAAATACAAAAATATTAATGAATACTATTTAACAATCAAGTACCTATCATAGGAAACGATAAAACGCTGATTACATCGGAGTATTCTTAAGATATCTTTTTTCTTATAGATGTTCAAAGATAAAATGCACTAATGACATCAAACATCACGTACAATTGACAATAAAAGATACGTATACCTTCACGGCTGTAAATGGTATATAATGTTGGATGTGCACGCTATAAATAACCGGTAATAACCGGTAATGATCGGTTATAACCGGTTAATGCCTGTTAATAGATCGGTTACAGCTCGCCTGTTAGCTACGGAACTCTTAATTGGCGACAAAAATCTCTTTTCATATTAACTACCGGAGACGAATACTTACTGAGATGATGAGTAAGTTTCTTATTAAAAATAAAATGAGATGTATCGTATAAAATTCAAAAACTAATCAGATTGTTACAAAAAAGGCCAGAAATGGCCATAATAATATATAATATGGGTATAAATGTAAATACTATTGATGCAAGAATGAAATTACAAGCTCGTATTTCAATGGAACTGATCAGATATCAGATTATTATAGGACATATTGTCGGCGGAAAAGACTTGAGAATACGTCAATAGAACGAGAGATGTAAATAATTATCCGCATTTAATAAGTATATGAAAATAGCCAGTGGTGGTCTAGTGGTTAAAAAGCCTACCTCTCATGCTTGAGGGCGCGGGTTTGATCCTGGGCCTGGCAAGTACCAATGTGATTTTTCCGAGTCATATGTACTTTCTAAGAGTATTTAGACATCACTGATTAATGCATTCCCAAAAGAAGGTTGATGTCATGCAGGCGGTCGGTCGTAAAAAACAATTAGCCAAAAGTATTCACAACATTTAAGGCAGACCCTGGCTAAAGCTGGGAAATTGCCAGGTAGAAGAAGAATAAGTGTTTATGTAAAGTTCCGTTTATTTTTTACCATACGTACATCGGTATAGTCGTATGATTATGGTTATACATATAGGTAAATATGGTTTTAAATGTTTATTTTATACTTCTACATATTTTTCATGTCACTGTGATAATTGACACTCTCCGCGTAAAACGCCTTGACAATTTTTTATGAAATTGTAGTATACTAGAATAGTAGCAAATTTTTAATAGCTATGTCAAAGAATCGGTAGGATTAATTTTGTTAAACCTAAAAATGTTGTTACTTTTTGTGACTTAATAATATAACTAGCCTGGCAATACAAACTGTCATGTAAAACTCCCTTTTCTCAATTTTTAATTTGGAACGCTTATATTATTTCAATAACTTCTTTCTATTTCGATCCGATTTACATGTACATCGTGCTCTATATCAAATTACAATATGGAATTGGATGTTAAATATTATAGGATCGTCTCGTACAGAGTGTATAAGGTACAAAGGTCTCGTCGGTGGTCGGGCATATTCCTGTTACTTCAACAGCTTGTTGTCATCAGTGCTGATCGTATATAATACTATCAACAGATACAACAACAGTCCGTCTGTTGAACAACAGAACACATAGTGAGGGGGGCGGGCTGGTGGAACTGTGGACACTGTTCATACAAGGAATGTTTCATGAGACACGAAGGATCCCTAGGACTGTCACTCGTTATAAGAACGGACATGAAGCTCGGCGTTTATCTTAAATAGACTGGTATAAGAGTATATTACTCTTTACTATTATAGAGAGTGGATCGATCGAACGAGGGTCGTCTTCTGTCGAGATATAAGATGGAAGGTACACGAATATCTGCTTTAGATATGCTCATGATTGAAGAACACTTCAATAACGTGAATGCTTCCTGTTCTATAGAAGAACAAGTGATTGGGAAATCGCTGCGTGGTCACTGAAGTCACTAAACTATATTCATTTTTATATAAAATGTATGAAAACTTCGACTAAAGTGTATTAAGATACATACAGTCTTGGATCTTTTTGAGAACCTTCTTAGCAATATGCTTTTTAAAAATATACAAATCAAAAAGGCAATAAAAACGCAAACCTCTTTCTAATATTGGAAAATATGTCTCGCTGCACCCCCCCCCCCCACTTCAGCGAGCGTGCCAGCAACTAAAACAACAAACGACTACTCTAATAGACATATAGAATATAACGACTCACGAGATCATTTTCACATTCACAAATATTTAAGGACAAATCTTAATTAATTCATAAAGTACTTCATAAAAAAAAGATATACCTAGGTAATAGATGCTTACGCTAACCATTCTGTATTAAATTAAGTACTCTCCTCATTATATGCTCAATATAAAATACTATTCGTTTGCCGGTTCTCACTATCACATTATTAAGACCACATAATTTCTCTCTGGAGACAATTTTAGGCAGACAAAATCGCGGGCAGAAGCTAGTAGTACAAAAGTACATAATATATTTAACGCAGACCTTCTTCTTGCCATATTAATATAATATTAAAAGTTAAAACCCATTCCTTGAAATGTGTGCTATCATCATGATGAAGGGTTTTCAAGACCAGAACTGGTAAATACTGATGGAAATATTCTCCATGGTAGCTTATTTGTTTCATTACAGAATGCTCAGAATGCTCAATGTGTTATCGGAACACTATATAAGTCCATATCTATATTGGAATGACACCACTTTTTATTCGTTTCAATTAACTATTCTTACTAAATAGTAAATACATTTTAAATCAATAAAATATACTATAAAGTATTAATTTAATAAAAATAGATATTCCAGCATTCGATCACATTCTTTCCCATATAATTTAAAGTAAATATTTACCTCTTGGTACTTATATGTATACATTGTGTATGATTGTTTGTGTAACGCGGATAGCATACGTATTACTCATTACTAGTAGTTACTGAGTGCACGAACACTCGCTATACTTCAAGGTTGAACACTGATAACAAGTAAGAAGTACACTAAGTACTCTTTTAACATAAATAAATGAAATTATAACACTTATACTATAGAACTTATTCATAACTAGCTTTCCGACCGCAGCTTCGCCCGCATAGAGTTCGATTATATCGCGTTTCAAAGAGAACCTTTCAAAAGTCTGGGATAAATACTATCCTATGTTCTTTCTCAAGGTCAACTCAATCTCTGTACCAGATTTCATTAAAATCAGTTCAGTGGTTTAGGCGTGAAAGCGTAACAGACAGACAGACGATAGAGTTACTTTCGCATTTATAATATTAGTAGGGATACGACGAGGGTTTAAATTATCATTAACTAAGAGGAACTTAGAGAAGAAAAGAGGAATAAACTATATTAAGTGACGTTAAAAGGTATATTGATATTAAATTAATGTATTCTCAATACATTAAGTAACAAGTGAGTAAGTGTAGGGTCCCAAACTTTCCCCTCACTGATAACTCCGGACGAGGCGGAGTACAGAGACTTGTTAAACAAACTTCCTGCTAATGGAACGAAATGATTCACGGTTACATTTTGATGGTTCATTTTAAAATATAAAAGAAATACAATATATATTAAATATAATATTATTATTTCAGTAGAAATAAAAAATATATCGTAATACAAATAAAATATTATAGTTATGTTCGGCTACTGTTATAGTATTAGGATTTGAGAGACACATGCAAAAGCAGTTAGTTCCTACATAATTACATTGATCTGAGTTCATTTATAGAGCATTAGTAAGACTAAAAGTAAATAGTAAATTAGTGACCAAGTTTAATGATCTTAATATGAAAAGCAATCTTATTTAAATTATCCTACTAATATTGTAAATGAAGAATTTTGTTAGGAAATATAAATTTTTTTTCTTTGTTGTTCATTCACGCGGAAAATGCAGAACAGATTATGATAAAATAATACAGTAATATAGATTGGATGTCAGAATAAGGCATATTTTATAATTTATCTCGGAATGACGTGTAGTTCAAGTGAGGTCAGGGCAAAACAGTTGTATAGCTAGACTTTACCAGTTAATTACTCTACTAAAGTATGTTTACACTCTGTTTTGTTTGTTTACATTCTTTCGAACCCAATACCGAAGCTGAGACGAACAAAGTCAAGGACAAAAACTAGCAATCTAACAAAAGGCTTAAGTATTGAAATACGTATACATTAGTTGTGTTAAATGCATTGATGCTATAAAGAAATTAATAGAATACAACTATTACTATTTTTAAATACCTTTAAAATAATAGATATAGTAACTAAATGAAGATAAATCACTTTCTAATACTTTGTATTAAAGTGAGAAGCAGATATAAATTGAAAATCTAAGTTGCTAATTGGGTACTTACCGAGAGATTGCCAATTACGGGACCGCGACGTGCCGTTTAATTTACGATCCCGGGCGATCCCGGACCCCGCGCCCCCGGGATTACCCGCCCCGGGATTAAGGACACTTTTATACGTATTCCCTTTGTCACCCCTGATTTAATAGATGCACTAAGTTATATTTATTTTCAACTTTATATATCATACAGTTTTGAAGGTGTATTTTTTTCGAAATATTATTCGATTTAAGGGTTTAATTGTAAGGGTAATTTTCAATCTTAACTCCATAAAATAAAAATGAAAATTAACATAAAGAATTAATATTAGTCAAGGTCTTCGATAAATTTAATTAAACAAGTCACAAACTAATCACATTTCTAATTAATAACTGATTTGAGTGGCTTCAATGGTAGAGTGAACAGGCTGTTTTTGAGATTAATGTTTAACACCCACGACTTCATTTCGACTAGCAGTTGAAATGGCAATGAAAGATTGTTAGTCGATTATAATATTATGACCAAAATATATCGATAATGCTTTTTATTTAAACGAGTAAGCCAGAATATATTTAAGTCAACTGATGATTGAAGCTGAACTCTGCCGAAAACTTTTCCCTGTATGACAGATAATAGTAAAGGTTCAAGCAATGTAATGAAATTTAAAACATCCAACAAAAAACATTTTGTAGACTTAATAAACTAAATACATTGAATATATGTACAAGTTATTATTTTCGGAGACGAAAAAAACCGTTATAAAGCCGCACTTCAGTATGAAATAAATCTGTTATAATATTCGGTGTAACAGAGCCGCACGTGAATCATTTCTCTCCCCTCGGAGGGAGCTTGGGTAATCTGATTTAGCGGCAGTTACCTACAGGTATTGCTAGCTCACAAACACGACAACTTATGTTGACTTTACATGCAGATATTAAATACTTAATCACAGGAATTTTAATTAAGTTTATTCAATATAGATTATAAAGAGAAAATCACTAAGTAAAGAATATAAAAATTGTCATTCGAACAATATTTAAAAATACTTGTAGGTATATTATTGTTAACTTAAATCTTAAAACCGTTAATGAAATAGAATTAAATCAGGGAATACAAGCAGTCTCAGAAGGACTTTAAAATCTTTTGATCTGACGAAACTTTAACCAACAACTATTGGATTATATATGAAAGGGTTAATTCTATCAGTTAATCGAAAGCAACATGTCAGTTACATGTAAATTGTTAATTACTTTATAATAAATTATCTTTATTATTGTTTAACAGACATAATTTAATGAAGAAATCTCTGCTATGAAAGCAAAATCATTAAAACATAGAATAAATGTACATGCAACTGTTAAAAAGTAAATTATAGAAACATTTTGATATCGAACGCCGGTCAATTTCACGCGTCATTAGTTCAACACGCTCTTTCATTCCGATTTGTTGCAACGTTCTTGTAAAATAGACTTTATTGTATTGCTTTAGAGTTTAGATTAGATCGTGGTAACACCCAACAATCTGTAGGGCTGGCGTTTATTAATTCGTGGAAGTGTAAAAGGCGTGAAAGGCCACTATCATTTGGTTGGCATAAAAAACTTTTTGGTGCCGTTTAAATGGATTTAGTGTTTATTTTGCGATAAAATATTAATGGAGGCATTTTGATGTTAATAACGGAAAGATTATATTAAACAGAAATACGGGAAATATTGTTTTACAATGAATCTATTAAATGTGCTTTATACTTTTCTTTCGTTACTTGTATACAATTTTAATATAAAAGTTAAACCTATAGTAGAGTTCATAGTATAAGTAACTTTTATGAGTGATTAAAAACGATTAAATCAAGCAAGCAAGTAGCAACCTTTTTAATATTAATCAAATATTCATTCACTTATTTAATGATTCCATTATCGTCGAATGTACATAAAAATATCAATTATTTATAGTAACGTTTGATGTTTTATTGTAGTTGTAATAAATAAAGTTAGTGTGCACATAAACATCGCTGGGATAGTTTCGGTTCCAAATAAAACCGAATTCTCAGCGACGTTTGTCACGCTTGTACACAGTTAGCAGTTACTGAACTTTGTGGATAAATTTATTAGGAATTTAATGAAATATTTAACTCTTTCAACACTTGATGATAATGTTTGTTTACTGATTAAGTCTAATCCATACTAATATTATAAATGCTAAAGTAACTCTGTCTGTCTGTATGTTTGTTACGCTTTCACGCCTTAACCACTGAACTGATTTTAATGAAACTTGGTACAGAGATAGAGTCGACCTTGAGAAATAACATTGGATAGTTTTTATCCCAGACTTTTGAAAGGTTCTCTTGGAAACGATATAACCGAACTCCACGCGGGCGAAGCTGCGGGCGGAAAGCTAGTATATATAATATAATTAGGAGTATGTATTATGTATATACTAAAAATTCCATTCCCAACTCTGTACAAAGTAATTTTTTATATCATTATCGATTTTTTTGTATTGTCTTATCATATGTACCTATATTTCAATATCTTTAATAATTTCTATACAAGGCTTATTTTTCTATGTTTTTCTCTGTAATAATTACGTCAAGTTTATTTGAACCGATCCAAATACAAGTGAGGGCAGGGTTTGTAAACCTTTCTATTGTTTATTAACACGAGGCGGTCGTGTTATTAATTACTGTACATTCAAAGTTTCATAACAACTGGTCGGCGTTAGACATCACTGAATGAACGTACATACATACAGGATTACTTGTACAAACATTAACTGACACACGACCAGTATATTTTGATCCTCGTTAGATATATGTGAGATTTATATTAGTTAAACGAACTAATCTGTTGTTTGTTGGTTGATTTTTAATTAATTTTACTAACACAAGCTATTATAAGAACTGTCTTTTATCTGTGATAAGATTGCTTATTCTAAGTTCTATTCTTTTACTACAAACTGAGCGTTTTCCGTTTCTCATTTAATAACCCACGGTAGTACTATAAATTGCGAGTATTTATGAAGGAGAAACTATTAAGGCTTCGTATGTAGTGTGATAACGACAACTTGTAATGATATCTACGACTTTCGCGAGTATTTATTTAAATAAAACTAATATTTACAGATTTACCTCGCGTTTTTAATAAGAATTCACATCTCGTCTGTCCGTGATCACGGTTGCTGCATAGTAACCGTAACAAAGGGATTATCTAAATCTAAAAATATTAGTTTTATTTAGACGTGCACTTATACTAAGCATAAATTCCTGTATAACGTCAATGTATATACTCCTTTATTCTATATTCCTTATATAATATGTTTAAATGTTTGTTAATAATAATAATTTTGTTTCATATCTTCTTCGTAGTATCTATTTATCTGTTTGTATATACGGGCGCAGAGGGCGCAGACCCCTATAATGTCCCAAAATAGTTTTAATGATTCCCACCGACCGCAGAGCGAGGCTGCGGGCTCTATATATATTTTATAAGTCTTACTACATACTATAAACACTACACCTGACTCTGCTCGGACCTGATTGTAATATTTAGTGTTAGTTTTGGATTGAATCCGATTTTGAAAATATCACTACTAAATAATTCTATCGTTGAAGAGAAGTGAAGTTAATTTATAGATATTGCCTATACTATCAAATTTTATGCGTTTATTAAAAGAAGCATATGAGACTGTTTAACGTGTCAAAGAGATAAAACTCTCAGATCTAGAACAAATGATACACTTCTATCAAAAATCTCGCGGAGATAAGACAAAACAAAAACGGACACGACATAAAAACTACACATGTATGTTTAGTAAAAATAAACCGAGAGTTTAGAACGCTTTTAACATTAATTGAACGAATAAAAACCATCCAATTAAAATTGTACCTTCAAAAGGCCATCCAATTAAAATCCCTGAAAACAGTCGCACGGACTGACATGTCATGAGACTTTTATTTATTTTGTACGTAACGTTAAAATGTACGTAAATTATTTCGTAAGGCAAACCTGAAATAACGAAGGCTTACCTTAGACTCATAGGAACGAGGTCTGGACAAAGATCATTATTCATTAGTATGAAAAAGAATATAATAGTGTTTTGCCGTGTTTTTCATATGTAGTTTGTAAATTAAAACTTAATTTACTACATAAAGTAATTTTATGTTGTAATATATATAATTTATATTAGTTATAACACGTGTACATAATAAAGATAAAATAAACATACATTCTATAAAAGCCGTTAAATCGTTATAAAAGGTTCGTTTTAAAGCATCTATTCACACATGTAAATGCTTTTAATTCACACTAGGTACATCAGTTAGCGGTGTGTTAACAGTAATGTAATTGTGCTCGTGACTCATCTCTAATAAAACCTCTCTAACAATCACCGAAACTGTTAAGGAACTACAATTTTCACACCATTCCTTCAATGGCGAAACCAAGTAACTCCACCAATCTAAATTGAACTCTATATACAAAGAAAAACGTTCGTTTTTGTTTAGTTATTACTCGAGGTGAACTTTTGCCGTCTGCTTTTAAATGACCAATAAAATTATCCAGACGAAAACTATTTCTGTTCTCGTTATCTCCTATAATATAATGAATATATTCCATTCTCTTCATAATGTACAAGTACAGTTATATAGTATTTATAGATTAAAATACGAAAAAGTATTAACACGGGAACTTTGAAAAACAAACAGAAATCTCATTAAAGATCAAAAATCCTAAATATAATTAAATTATTTATAACTTCAATGTTTATTTAATTACTTAGATAATCAAAAAATATTTTAGTACCTAGTAGATATAAATATGTTATTAAAGAAGAGATCCCAATTTTTTGGTCTCATTTGTTTAATAATCATTTTCTTATAAAATATTTTTTACATAGAGTCCTAATAATAATGTTTTATACTCTCTATTGACCTCTACGGGTCGCTCCCGAGTCTCGATAAAGTTTTATTGAAACGTCAAGAACAAAGATGCATAGATTTTCATCTCAACGTCAAAACCGATCAAAATTAATAATAATTAATTGATTTGTACAACATGACTAGTTATCTCATCGTATTATTATGATTTTTAACAAAAAGACGACAAAAACTTTTAGTGTTAAATATTTAATTTCGTTTATAAAACTTATCTTAATCAATTTAACAGTTTTTAAGGTATTTAATACTGTCGATTAATCAATGTTTATTTTTAGGGACACTACAATATGTGGTCGATTTCATAAATATTACTGTCACCGAAATTTTTAGGTTTTAAAAAACCTTCAAAATGTCATATTGAAATAAGCGTCAACATAGACTTACTTAAAAAATACAAATAAATTAGATCTGGTCCAATAAATATAGACCTAATTTGTATAATAATAGCTACTAAATTTCATGAACACATTACACAACTAACTTCTTTAAATTTATGTACTTATTTAATCATCAGAACTAACCGTTTCCTTCTACTTCTCAAGGTATCAGCTTGTTTCATACCTTCTACTATAATTCTCAGATCACAACTAGTTCTTCTAACTTCATTCAATACCAGCTAGCTCTAGGATACAAGACTTAATCTACTTTATAATTTGTTAAGCATCTATAAATAGCTGCCCCTATCTGAAAAAACTAACCACATGTATTGAATCCTCCGGGAACCTTTCGTCTTCATAAACCCCAATACTTATGTCACTTCCCCGTTTTTATCATTCCGATCACGTCTTGACACCTTACTCGCAGTCTCTGTAACGTGTTGAAAACTATAAATTATTATCAAACGTATTTATTAAATGGAAACAGATCTATATGACCTGGAATGGCTTATACAATAAATGTACTTGAAGATTGTTCATTATCTTTTGTATTTACTAAGACTTTTAGTTTTATTTTTTTGAGAGAAAATTATACACACATGTATTGGAAATTAATTCCAAAGGCGGCTATTCTTTCTTAGAATGATGACGATGATTCTTTTGAATGATTTCACATATTATATCTTCACACATAACTAACTGTATTTTTTGTGTTTTAACCTTATGACCTTCAGTTTATATAACTTATATGATGTTGATTTTATCTCAACTATTCCAATCATCCAAATAAATCTAATGAATATTTGAAAAACATTAAGCATCAGAAAGGACCATCGAAGTATTAAAAATCAATCAAATATTGAACGAATGAAAGAATGAATGAATGAATGAATGATAATTTGAATGTCAAGTAAATAATTGAATATAACACGACCACAGTGTTCCTGAATCACTTCATCTCATTGTCACCACCAGTCGTACGTGTCTCCCCTCTAATATCTGTCTTTCAGTTCATAAAATCCTCAATTCTTCCGCTCCATACACCACGGATAATACTAACATTGATATCGAGCAGGAAATGAATCGGAACGAAATTAATTAACAAGTATTTTGATAATATAGTCAAGTTGAGAAAGATTTGAGGAGATGTTCATCTTATTCTTATTTTTATGTGAGATATTTTGGTTTTGAATTCTTATGAGATTTCTTTTTGATATTTATTTTTATGTAGGTACTTGTAAGTTATCCTGATTGTATACAGGAATTATATTACTATAGTCATATTTTTCCCGACTTTGTTTGCTCTTTTAGCGTTTAACACCATAAATCTATAAGTTTCAAACATAAGCTGTAAAAAACTGACCAAAACACGACAGATGAATATTTGTATTTTTATGAGGTCATAGATTAACTACCTACTACTCTCATTATATTATTTATATTTGAGATATACAGCGTGACTGGTGAATTACTATCAATATTTAAGGAGAATACTCGGTACATGATTCCCATTCGAATTATGTAAAAAAATAGGCACTTAATTTTTGACAAAATTTCCGTATAAATAAATAAAGTGTTGACACGTTCCAAGTGTCCCAAGTGTGGACGCGTGCGGCGGCGTGCTGATACAACACCACGCCCCGCTCGCGTATGTGTGAGTGTGAGTGTATACCTAATCTGTAGGGTGTTCACACGATGCGTAATTAATTACATAACTTTTGGTTAACTTTACTTAGAAGTTTATTAATATTTATGTTATATTAATTTTTATTCTGTCATATATGATCGTCAAATATCACGTCCTCAAATATCGATAGTAATTCACCAGTCACCCTGTAAATTATTTTATAAGTGAATTTTCTTTCATAAATCATCACTCTTTTTAAGGAGTAGGTAATTGATGTTAGGACGAAAATACAATTCAACATATATTTGTATATTATATTATTTATTTTTAAGAACGTATACAATACATTATGCATATCTACAAAAAATAACTCAGAATATGTTTATAGGTAATTAAATGTATCTCCAAATAACTTGAATAATTACTTTAAAATTCAAATTAACAAGAAAAAACTAATAAAATTAAATTATTCAAAATAAATAAAATAAAATCTAAATACGGAACTTACAGAATGGAAAAATACGGAAAAAATATATAAAGATATATTATATTAACATATAATTTTAATATATTTTAATGTTTGTATTAACGGAGGGGCCTCGTAAGAGAGTCACGCCGGCCTTTAGATCACGGAGGGAGAGGGACGGAGATAGGGCCGGTGTATGGGAGCGAGCGAGACGGGGAGAGGACAGCTTCCGGGTCAATCAGACGGAATTGTGTCATGATTGGATAATTATATTATTGATACAGTTCAATGATATTCATAGAGAAGTTGTAAAGAATATATAGGAAGGGTAATATCTTATATATAATAAAAACATATATATTTGAAGAAATATTACTATGTATCTTGACTGTGTTATATTATTAATAACTAATAAAGAAAATTATTGATTTTTAGAGTAATAAAGTAATTTGATGAGGTCAGAATTTTTCCATAAAAATGTCCATAAATACATACATATTATCAGAAAATAAATGAATTATAACTCTCAATACTTATAAAAGTTATTCGTCTGTGTCAGGGAGCGTTCAAGTATTACGTAACGCAATTTTGGGGGAGGGGGGGGAGGGGTCTCGTAAAACGTTACGATGCGTTACAGGGGCGGGAGGGGGTGTCTCTTATAAAACGTTACGTAGCATTGTTTCTAAAAAAAAAATATTAATAAAAACCCCCAAACTGGCAACTCTTTTCATATACGTTACATTATGTTGACCAGATTGTATTACTCTGGTTGATATTTTTATTTGTTATTCCAACTTTGCAAACCTCTTAATTGATATTTTACTGGGAATACCTAGATTGCATTGTAAGTCTTTTAATGCTGCTTCCGTGGTCAGTATTCGTTAGTGTTTATCCGTGAGTTCAGTGTTTATAGTGTAATTTCTTCAGAAGAGGGAGATTTGTGTCAATGATCTCTTTTCATTTAATAGATTAAAACTATACCAAACTATTACATATTGTTTTACGACTTTGGATTAAATTTATCACTTGAGTGTTACGTAACGTTTTGAGAAGGGGGGGAGCTACAGAAAAACGTTACTGTGCGTTACGAAGGGGGAAGGGGGGGTCAAAAATCTTCGAAAATTGCGTTACATAATACTTGAACGCTCCCTCAACTATACACATATAGAAAATATTTTAAAATTATTGTTACACTAACAAATGAAAATTTAAGAAAAAGACCTTTTTTAATTTGGAATAACCTACATTCTTACTATATGTTCAAAGATTATCATTTGTTTTATAAAACCTCGCATCACGTTTGTAACTCAGAAAGCGGATTCAGTGAAAGGTAAAGAAATACTCAGTAATTACAGAGTTCGTGCACTAACTATGTTAAAACTATACGACCGGCGTATCGTTAACTGACACACTTAACGTAACACCGTTTTAACGTAAAGATTTTTGTAAATACGATCATATAATCTTACTCATATTTATTGTATTTCACAATTATTACTATTCGTATAAAACAATGATTCTCGTGGTTTTAATTTGACGGCAACTTTATAGTATTTCGTATCATACACATATAATTACGTGTAAAACTAAGAGTAATCTCTCATCATCAGATCTATATATTATCATCATCTCAAAGTTTCTATCAAACGTCGAAGCTGTCTCATCAGAACCGTTAAGAGATTTGCACGTCCGGTCATTGACCTCTAAACATTTGGCGTTACCGAGGCGGTAGCGAATTACAGTAACAGTATACGATTGGCTTACACATACTGTTATAGAGTGTGTGTCCGTCTGTGTCAGCCTTAATACATAAATAATGGGGTCGTTTATAAAGTCGTTTGTGACTTCCCCGTCCGTCTGTCTTAGACATAATAACGTGACCACCGGTTAGACCCGGCGAGCTCAGATATAATATTGAACTAAACTCATATTATTTATAAGGAGATATAGAATGTTTAAGTAATTATTTATTTGTACTAGATGGTAATGTGTATAGTATCAGTGGACTCCTTGTTATGTATATATATATATATGATGTGTGTATGTATGTATGTGTTGTCTGTTATCGTGATTGTTGAACGCGGTCATTGTACCCGCGGTCGCTCGTCACGGCACGCCGGCCGCTCTAATGCGCTTACATTACTACCTACATACCCGCCACTTTGACTTGACCTCTGCAAACACTTAAACCTCCCCCGCGGAGCTCCGGCATTATAAGCGGGCAGCGGGGAGGGGTAGCTCTAACCGGCTGGTCGCCAGTCGTGTACGCATTCGCAAGTATTGCGCGAAGTCATACATTAGCTCAGGTTTCCTTAGCGTTATTTGTTCTATGTGAAGTTTGTTAATGTTTTTTTCTTACATACTAATAGTGCCACCTGACATTGTATTCGGTAATGGCCGCGTTTCCCAGGATTACGATGAGAAAATACTTTTTTATTCAATTAATAATCGGGCTAATTATGGTTTAATATCTGGTTTGTGACGTAAAAATGAATTGACACATGCTTAAGCAAGTGCTTCTCATTGCCTAGAAACAGAAGTTTTATGTCAAAAGAAACAGTGAATTAAAACTGTAAAGATTAAAAATTAGTTGCAGTCACTTTAGATAATGTTTATTTACATTAAAAACCTATTTGATAAACAACAATTGAAAAACCTTGTATTTACGAATATACAATCTAGACTAAGGATTCCATACATTTTCGAGCCTAAATGTATTAAGCAAAAAAACAAAAATAGTATTACTTCACAGAGTTACATTTATTACTCGCTTACTATTTAATCTGGAAATTTGAAAATCATTAGATTATCGCACGATTTATATAAAACAGTTGACTTGACCCTACTAAGTTGGTTAAGCAATAATGTTTGCGTATTTTATTTAATTGTAGAAATTTGAAAGTTATATTATAAAAATAGAATTGTTGATATCGATACCCGATCTCAGTTCTAGTTCTCTCAAGCGCATACGTAAAAGCAATACCTTACAAATATTAACTACGAAATTCCATCATGTAAAGGTCATTGACCTCAAGTACCTATTGCAGATACAGATAACAGTTTTAATTTATCTCATATTAACAGATAGATAGGTACATGAATACAAGCCAATCCAAATTAGATATAGCAAAGACCAAGTAACAAACTCGAGTCAATCGTTTCCAAGCGATTAGTTTCAATGTGAGTCAGTTAGACAGTTAGCGATTTATCTTTCTGAGCGGCCAACAGTTAGTTAAGAGAAATGTATAAAAAACTGATAGTCATTTGGTTGTTTACATTAACTAATATTTTACTTATAATATAACTGTAGTTTAATGCTATATATAGGACGAATCTTAGTAACTATTCGTACGTAATGAAAAATTTATTTTTGTTTTCTACAATAGATTAGTTCAATGCCGTAGAAAATGCCAATGTCATAGAATAGTTGAAGCTTCGTCACCTTATAGGTATATTGCCTGGTTTTTGGACGTTACATCAATATAAAAAAAAATATTTATTATATCTTAAACAGTATTTAAACATTTAACATTTACACAAACATTTGACATCCCGTCCCATTTTATTTAGTTTCTTTTTATTATAATTTACAGAATGCTTAAAAAATAAAACAGCACAGATATTGTAAGTACATTTAAGAATATTTTTTTAATTATTTAGTTACATAAAATACATAAACCATTGAAAACTATTCAAATAGTGGAAAAGAAACTAAGCGAGGAACTATGTACAAAGTAAACGCTCTAACTAAACTAACACAAGTAGGTACATTCGTCGTCGACTAAGGTTTAAATAAAATAGTTGTATATAGAAAATTTAAAAGCTTACTACAACATATATGAACTATTTAAATAACTATCAATGAAAATCACATGTTAATTAAACGATATATATCGGCGCTACCAGCTTTAATAACGGATGCGACATGAAAATAATAATTAGAGGCCGTCATCAATTCTTATTAAACCTCATTAGTAAGTATTTATGATTATTGTTAAAAGTAAAACGAAATCAAAGGTTGTTTAAAACGAGAATAGAACTATGTTTAAATCTTGGTATAAATATGACGTCTGGATGCACGACAGCAGAGTTTAGAGTTCAGTGAGTGCGTATCATTGAAGTATGTGATTATGAAGAACCTTCGAGAAATACAGGAACATTAAGAACAATTGCAGTTTCATTTTAAAATATCATGGAACGCTCTAGAAGAAGTGACATTTGTTACGTCAACGAGGCTGGCGTCTCTCACTTTTAAAACAACGAATCTGTAATAAATCCGATATACTCGTATATATCTTCGAACTTAATCTTATATCGGCAAGGACATAGAATTTATCTGAAGTTATTTTACTTTGAATGCAGAATTAGTGAGACATTTAATAATAAATGTTAAGAAACACTCATAGTAATGGTAAATATATTATCAAACTGTTAGTAAGTATTTAGTATTCATTCACGGTAGGAAGTGTACAGTTTGGACGCTTCATTCATCGTTCAACACCAATAATTTGATTATCAACTGTTTCTTATTAATACTAATTTTCATATCTTTATATATATATACCTAATTCTTCTGTGAGTGTGTATGTCACTCAACTTCTCTAAAACGACTGGACCAATTTTGATAATTTTTTTTTGTGTGTTTTCAAGGGGATCTGGGAATTGTTTAGATTCACAATTTTGTCCGCTGGACAATGTTTTTTTAATTAATTTTTAATTTGTCAGTAGTTGATGATACAAACGTTTTTTTTTGACATTAGATTTGTCAACTAACTTAAATATGTCAATTATTCTGTCGCACTTCAAAACACGGAGATTTATGGCTTTAATAGGTAAACTCCAACAATATACATAAATAAAAAAACGGAACAGATATTTCTTGATTATAAGGCGATACGAAGTTCGCCAGGTCTTCTAGTTAATATCTAAAGCAATATAAAGGGTATTTTTTAACAGCTTACAACAAGTTCACATTCACACTACACACTACACGTGGATCGTTCTTGTCTTTCCTTTATAAATCTTGGTACATTATAGTATTAACGTATGATTATGAATGAACAACTGTAAATGTCTGTAGGATGACAAAGTAAAGTTGTATTAACTGTACAAATATTTCACAACTACTTAATTATTTAATTAGTATTAGGAACTTACATTTTAACATTTTTTATACTTAGGTACATGTGGAAAATTCTTAATGTAAAATATATAGTGACTATGAAAAATAACATACGACAGGCAAAATATACCCATTGAATTATTAACTAGAGTTGTTCTCTGCCACCTCGGCCGCTGAATCCTAATTGAACTTCAATGTTTCACCCTTGTAGTTTTAGGATCGGAATTAAAAACAGCCTATGACTTTTTCTAGAATTTCATTTATCTTTATACCAAAATTCATCACAATCGGTTCAGCGGTTTAACCGTGAAAAGTATAACTATTTGGCCAATAATTCATTTTTATGAACCAATTCTAAGCGTCTTATACTAGTGATAACTTCTAAATAAATATCCGATTGAGATGAAACGAAAATTATTTTACTTCTACATAAATGACCTTGATGACGGAATCCTTAATTTGGATAAGGATTAATACTACGACACACATTTAACGAACGAACAGTAGTTTCGTACTTGTAACAATTTTATAATTTTCATGAACATAAAATGCGAATATTGTGCCTAAACTATGTCAGTTAGGTAAATGCTCTCGCGAAAATTTATTTAGATCTTTATGGGACCTACAGCCCGTAGTACATTATTTGCTTGCATTGTCAATAGTTTTTGCGATACCCGCAAAAATAGATTTTCGATACCTTGGGTTACATAGCAGCAATTTTCTTGTTGATCTCAATTTTTTTGAAAATAAAATATAGCTTATAATCTTTCCAAATAAATGAACTATCCAATAATTAAAGTATTTTTGAAATAGGTAGAACAAGTAGTTCTCGAGATTAGCGCGTTTAAACACACAAACTCTACTGCTATACAGGTGACTGGTGAATTACTATCGATATTTGAGGACGTGATATTTGACGATCATATATGACGAAATAAAAATTAATATAACATAAATATTAATAAACTTCTAAGTAAAGTTAACCAAAAGTTGTGTAATTAATTACGCATCGTATGAACACCCTACAGATTAGGTATACACACACACTCACACAGACGCGGCGGCGGCGTAGTGTTATATCAGCACGCCGCCGCACGCGTTCACACTTGGAACACTTGGAACGCGTCCACACTTTATTTACTTATACGGAAATTTGGTCAAAAATTAAGTACCTATTTTTTTTACATAATTCGAATGAGAATCATGTACCGAGTATGCTCCTTAAATATTGATAGTAATTCACCAGTCACCCTGTATATACATAGGTGGGTATTAGTATAGATTGTAACCGCTAATGTCGGATAAGGTGGCTAATTTTCTAATATACAATACTTTTGTTATTAATATTTGATTACGACAGAAAAGATTAAATATAACAGAAAAATAAATACATTCTCATAAGACTTTGTCTTCTTTTAATAGAAGAAAAAAACAATGATTTAATAAATTTGTGGTTGTCAGTGGGTGTTTTAGACCACTTTAGAAATAGATGAAAATTTCTAGCAATTTACAGATTCACGAAGTCATTTAATTAAAATCTCACGCGTTCGCAGTCTCTTTTGAATAAATACTAGTTATTATATTATTGTTAGTTTGCCAAAAACATCAAAGAAATTTCTCAATTAAACATCAGGTGAAGAAACTTGATGTTATTAAGCTAAAAAGAGAATGTATAGAATGCTATCAACATGTTTTCATTACAGGAAAAACTTTCCTAATAAACCTAAGTCTTAATATTTTTATCGATGTTGAAATTGACTGTAATGCGACTTGCGATAGATGAACAGAACAATATGAGACGGTGTAATAAAAGTTTAATTTCGGTATACTGACAATTGATTTTGTTGGTATAAGATCAAAATATTTCTTTCGTGTATAAAAAAAATTATAAGACTAAAAATATCTTTTCCGTTACGCATTGTTTCACTTCAAAATGTAATGGTACTAGACTTAGGCACCGTTTCTTAACTTCTGTTATTTTATATATTCCTCACAGTAGTTCAAAAGCACTTTAATAGAATAAAACTAATAAAATCGTATGATATAAAACAACACCCTTCCCTTGAGTCAACACTCGAGAATGGAAATAA